ACTGACCTTGCAGTTCAATCCAACTTTGCAGTCCAGCTCATTAACCCACAGTGCCACAACAGATACATCATAAGTCCACCTTTACTTTAAAAAAAAAAAAAGTATTAGAAATTGCTAACATAATTTTCACTTGAAAATAATGCACAATAACAGAAAATCTACAAAGTCTCTATTACAGTTTAAAATGATTAAAAAGAGATTTACTGGAGATTGATGACTTAGCGAGGTGCTAGTTTCCCCTGAGAGCTCTGCAGAGAGGAAGAGAGAATGAAGCTGGAGAGGGTTATGGGCTGCTGCCCTATGCTTTTCTTGGGGTTTCGATACATCCAGGCTCTAACGTAAAAGAGAAAAGCTGGATTCACAGGCTGCATCATCAAAGTGACTTTCTCAGTTTCCCCACTTACTAAATGGGATTGATATACCTGGTGGTGTTGGTGGTGTGCCGACTCATCGCAACCCTGCACAGGGTTTCCAAGGCTGTAAATATTTATGGGAGCAGAGAGCCTTGTCTTTCTCTGGCAGAATGGCTGGTAGTTTTGAACTGCTGACCTTGAGATTAGCAGCCTGACTCATAACCACTATGCTACCAGAGCTCCTTTGATAACACATTCTGCACTGGAAATATCATGAGCATTACATGAAGTCACCTGCCAAAGGACCAGGTAATAGTAAGCCACCAATAAATTGTAGTTACTAACAGCATAAAGGATTCATGGTTTGGCGCTATAGGATCTGCACTAGATTGCAAACTATAAGGTCGGCAGTTGAAACCCGCCGGTTGCTCCTTGGAAACCCTACGCAGGGTCGCTATAAGTCAGAACTGACTCAACAGCACTTAGCAACAATAATTGTAGCGTAATACTTATTACTGCATTATTTATGTGAAACCACTTTCCCACAAACATTAACAACACTGAGGATAATTCTTCTATGTCCAAGTCTACAATGAATAATTAGGTTTTATGATTTGAGTTTTAGATACGTCATTGCAAGTACCAAGAAGAAAGAACAAGCAAAGAAAGGTAAATCTGCTTGTTAAGTTTCATTGGGGAGCTGTAAGATGGAGTCCTGATGTGGCACTGTAGGACATGCACTGGACTGCTCACCCCAAGGCTGGTGGTTCAAACCCTCCAGCCACTCCTTGGAAATCCTATACAAGGTGGCTATGGGTCGGATCTGACTTAACAACACTTAACAACAACCACAAGATAAGAGATTAGGAGTACTGGATGAAGACTTGGGTATAATGTTTACACTTAAACAGATGGGTCAGAAAGCAAGAAGAACATGGAAACAGCTAAGCACTGTGTTTATAAATATTACCTAACTGTGTGACCTTGAATAAGTTAATTTCCCTGTGCCTCAGTTTGTTCACCTGGAAGAAATGGAAATAGTACTTCTGCTGGAAGGAATAGTACTAGACGAGGAATATAAGGAGTTAGAGTACTTATTTTGCAAAGGGCTTAGGATAATATCCGGAACACAGTCAATGCTCTAAAAGTGTTAAATCAACCTGAGGGGTGCTAACAATGGCTGAAGTTACAAAGAATGGTCTGTTAGGAAATTTTGGGAGCAAGGACTAGCAAAGTTGCCTTCTAAGGGCATAACCTGAAAAGTTCCCAGGATCACTCATCCATTCCACAAAGTGGGCCTCCCCTACGTGCAAGATGAAGTGCTGAGGCTGCAAGAGAGTTGAGTCACATTTGAAAAGATCTAAGAATGGGCCAGAGGCTGAGGCAGAAAGATATCTTAGTTGAGGTAGGGAACAATGGAAGTGTATGCCCCTTCCTCTAAGCTTTCACAATATTCTGTAATTATTTCACAGCACTCTAAATATTCGTTAATTGTATATAAGGATCTCCCTGAGACAGAGCTCTCTGAGGGCAGATTGAATCCTGTTCATCGAAGAATTTCCTTTCCATAGTGCTCAGCAAATATGTGTTGAACTGGATCTGAAGCAAACAAGACTGACCGTGTAATTACTGAATGGTAGTGACTTGAGCCTTAACTTTTCCACATTCTATTTTCAATGACCCACACTGCTCTAAATGGTTTAGTGTAGGAAGGGAGAGCTGTGATCCTAAGAATGTGGCCCTAGTCTTTTTCTGTCTTGGCCACCTCAAATGACATAATGGTAAAACAGGCTAAGACGCCTTCTGCTAAGGGATTTCCTCCAGCCACTTTTCTCAGTAAAACTACAAATATCTTAACACTGGCACAGATAAAACTAAATTCACCAGCTTGGCAAGAACTGAATTTTGTTTCCTTCTTTCTCCACCAAATTGTATTCTGTGTTTTCTTCATAATATCTGCAAAAATATGTACCAACCGTCCCTCCCATGACACTCTCTACTCTTCTGGTTTCAAGAATCCATTTCAATGGCCACACGGAACTCCGACACCATCACTCAGAGTTATGGAGTTTATTAGGGAAGGCAACAGGTTACAATTCAGGATCAGCACTGCTCAGGTCACAGCTGTTCCAGTCAGCTGCTGATAAATGCCCGCAGGACCTACCACTCCACCATCAGCCTGAAGACACTCAGCAAACCTAGCTCTTCCACTTCAGGCACCAGCGAGCTTCTTGCTGAAATCATTCAGATTTACTTGCTGTGTGGACTGGAAAGCCCACTGCTCTTGCTCTGTCTTGTGCTCTGGTTCTTGATTGGGCTCCTGCTGTTCCTCTTCCACTCCTTCAGTGTCACAACTTCCTGTCCCTGGGTTAAAGAGGTTCAATGCACAGGGACCATGGGGTGCAAAGGATGTGTTCCGCTCTAGGCTCTTCTTCTTTGATGGTAGTGGGATTCCTCCCCTCCTGCTTCTGAGATGGTTCATTTTATGCCATGCTAGAGTTTTAAGTCTTTACAATGATCTCTCCTAACATCCACAGCTGAATCATGCTAGCCTATCAGTACCTTCTCCCACCTCTTCCCTAGATCCACCAGGGCTGAAATACTGTTTAATAGGAGTTACAGACTGTCACTACAAGAGACATTAGATAATTCACTGCTCTACAATCTCTCTCATACAATCCTTTCATTAACTTCTCTGCCATGACCTCACAAAAAATCATACTGGAATCACAACTGAAGAGTCTCACTGTGCTTCTGTCTATGTATCATGGCAATCAATATGCAGCCTCCACAAATACAAGCTTCATCATATATTATGCCTCTTTGAGATCCTCAATATTTTGGTAATATCCTACCTATCCAAATATATTACCTGCTTATTAAGGTTTGCATGTAAAATCTCTGGTCCTATTTAGATAAGGGACCTCACAGCAGTCATTAATGTACCTGTTCCCTCATTCATACAATATTTAAAAAGCTTGCTTCTACAGCTACTTGCCTATGTGGCTTCCCTTTTTGAACTATGCTAATTCTTCTTTTCTGATTATTCAAATAATTAGTTATTCTCGTACTAGCTCTTCTATTAGTATTCTATTGTATCAGTTATTGTCATGTGTCTTGTGTGTCATAGAGTTGATTGGGTACCATAGAGTTGATTCTGACTGATGACGACCCCTGACTTACAGAGCAGAACTGTTTCACACGGATTTCTTGGCTGTAATTTCATAGAAATGGATCACCAGGCCTTTTCTTCTGTGTTATTTTTGGGAAGGTTCAAACTTTCAACTTTTATGTCAGCAGTTGACCAGAAATACCAACATAGAAATATACTGTGTTTCACATTGTTTCCTTCTCAAAAACAACAACAACAAAAAAAATGTTCCCTTCTCAAAAACAACAAATGTTCCCTTCTCAAAAACAACAACAACAAAAAAAAAACTATAAAGGCCACGAAGTCAGGGGGTTTCCATTATTTTACCCATTTATCTAACAAATATTCATTGAGTTCCAGCATCATGAAGGGCACTGTGCTAGGCTATGGGGTACGGTGATAAATGTTACACAGCTCATAGAACCCACATTCTACTGTATGTGTTTAGAGGGGGAGATAAAATAATTCACACACATAATCGTATCATTAGAAACTGTGATAAACACCATTAAGAAAAAACACAGTGTGCTGTGAGAACAGGATGACGCTTCAGATGGAAAGAAAATGGCCCTCAGCTGAGATGGAAAGGATACAACAGAATTAAATGCCAAAAGATCTGGATCCTTGGAGGAACAGAAGCAAGATTGCAACTGGTAAAGTGTGGAGGCCTGAGCCATTTCAGGTGGGGCTACTGGTGCAGGTGTAGTTTCTCAGCTTGCACTAGGATCAGTCAGTACATTTTTGTTGAGTAAGTGTAAATTTCAGATGGTCCTTAAGAGTCATAATGAATGAAGGCAGAGGACATTTCTGAATTTGTTGTCTGCATATTTGAAATTGAAAAAAAAAGGCAAACATCCAATACTTAAAAAAATAGTGCTTAAGAAAGGTATCAGAGAAATCATAACCAGCAAGGATACAATGAAGGAAATGGTCTTGAAAAATTCCATGAGATATTAACATAGGAGGAGAAGATCTGCAGCTACCGCCATCGATATTTTGTGTATCTGCTCACGTTCAATAGAAAAGGTACTGAGCTAGTGACAACTATGGTACAGACTGTAGTCCACTCCATATTATAAGTTACATGTCCAAATACTTTACATGGGCCACCGAACAGATGGTATTGTATTTCAGTCATTACCAATGTGAACAAGATTCAAACTGGTGACCCAAGAGGTGAAAGGTTTTATATCCAATTACAAATTTCCACTTTCCTTAAGTGTAAGATGCCTAAAGCAATATATTTTATTTACATCAAGATACATTGTATAAACTATATTTGATAAAAGAGATGACTTCACAGTCTCAACTTAAATCAAAGAATGCTTACTTAAGTATTTTTTTAATTGAATCAGACTTTAATGCCATCGTATAATTTTTTGGTTAACAGTGCTCATCTTGATTATTCTAACAAAGGGAAACATAGAAATTAATACTTAAGTTGTAGAGCTTATGACATTTGTAAAAATGCACACTAGAAAATTCAAAAGAGATACCTGGGACATCTGTGAAGGTTTCTCCAAGGACAGATACATGAAAAGTGAGGCCTTGGTCCTTTAGATGCATTAATACCTTAAAGAAACTCTCTGGGTCTTTATCATGTTCCCTAGAAATAAACAGACAAAATATAACTTGTGTTAACGAAGGTATGTACGAAGAATAGTGTTTTTGCTTCTGAAAAGTTTATCGATTTTTTTTTTTTTTGTGGTCTAATGCTGGTTAGAAAAAGTTCCAGCATCTTCAGCAGAGCTTTCTCCCTATAACCCATACCAGCATTGAGTGATTTCACATCTACACACTTTTCTCTCATGATGAAAACCCAGTTCTACTGAAGTATTAAGGGTCTGCAATCTTTTATGAAAGTGTAGTGCATTTTCTTTTCTCCTTAAATGTTAATTTTATATACAGTGCAAGTTGGGTGTTTTTTTTTTTTTAAATAAACAAGACTGATCATGAGAATTTATCAAAGATGCTTTTCATTTTCATGGGTCTGAATATCTCCATTTCACATGTAGTGAGCTCCTTTGTGCCCACAAAGTACTCAAAATGTAGAAAGTGATACTACACACCCTCTCACTAAGGTCTCACATAAAATAAACAAATGAAGAATTATAAATATATCAAAAGGTCTATGTCTTGACTATTAGCTTAGGAGTGGAGGTTATTCAATATATGAAAAAATAATAAGGATAATTATATCATTTATTAAAGGCTTTGAAAAACATGGATAATTTTTTGTTTGCTTAGCTTGTCAGTTTTCTTTGTAGTGAAAGAATGAGAGGCTAAAGGACACTAAAATTAAAAAAAGAAATTATCCAATTCAATAAATCACATTAAAATGGAACGAGTTATTTTTTACATTGTAAGGTGTGAATATTTCAGAATTTCTTGCATTTAATTATACTGTTTTAAATTATCTTATTTCAAACAGATGTGGACCAGATGTCTTCAAAATATTTGTTTTTTTATTTATAATTCAGAATTTTAACTTCTTTTTTACATTACAGAAAAATAGTTATATATCAGCAATTGAATTTCTCATTTACTAACTAATTATGTAAAATAAATCTGTAAATTGATCAAACTGCTATATGAAATATGAAAATTACATCATTCAGGAAATCTCATGAAAAATGACATCTGCAACCCTAAATGTGTTAATTCACAATTCAGTCAATATTTTCAGTATCAAGAATTAAAACAAATGCATCTTCTAATTAACATTTTAAAATGGCACTTACAATCTTATGAAATTGTAAGATCTTATAGAAATTAGAGTTCTTTAACATAAAACACTTTAAGCTCTCGTTCTCATAGTTTGATGTACTTAAAATAATAAAGAAGGCAAATGTTCACAGCTTTCTAAGGTAATATGTATTACATACATATGTCATTGGTAAAGGACTCCTGGTGTGCTTCTGTAGGATCAGCACTGGACTGTAAGCCACAATGTCGGCAGTTCAAATCTATCAGCTGCTCCTTGGAAACCCTATACAGGGTCGCTATGAATTGGAACTGACTCGACAGCACTTAACAATAACAACAATCATTGGTAAGTTTTCAGATAGCTCTTACATAGTACTGTTGTGGGCAAGAACAGAGACCCAAAATATTTTGAAAGTAAAGATATGTCATGCTGACTTTAACCATATCAATCAAATGACAAACAACAATCGTTGGTAACTTTTTGATACCTCATATATACTACTGTAGTGGGCAAGAACAAAGACTCAAAATATTTTTGAAAGTAAAGATATGTCTTATGTTAAATTCAACCATATCAATCAAATGACAAACAACAATCACTGGTACATTTTTTAGATACCTCTTATATATACTACTGTTGTGGGCAAGAACAAAGACTCAAAATATTTTTGAAAGTAAAGATATGTCATATGTTAAATTCAACCATATCAATCAAATGACAGCCACCTAAATCTGTAAAAGGAGTCCTGGTGTGGCGCTGTGGGCTAATGCGACAGATTGCAAAGTCATTTGAATTTCAAGGCCGGTGGTTCAAGCTCACCAGCTGCTCCTTGGAAACCCAATACAGGGTCGCTATGGGTCAGAATTGACTTGACAGCACTTAACAACAGCAATCTGTAAAAGGAGTCCTGGTGTGGCGCTGTGGGTTAATGCGCCAGACTGCAAAGCCGTTTGAACTGCAAGGTCGGCAGTTCAAACTCACCAGTTGCTTCTTAGAAACCCTATACAGGGTCGCTAAGGGTCGGAACCAACTCAACGGCACTTAACAACAACAACAACAACAACAACAACAACCTGTAAAATGGAGTCCTAGTGTGGCACTGTGGGCTAATGTGCTGGACTGCAAAGTCAGTTTGAACCACAAAGTTGGTGGTTAAACTTACCAGCAGCTCCTTGGAAACTCTATACAGGGTTGCTATGAGTTGGAACTGACTACAACAACAACAACAACAAATCTGTAAAATGGAGTCTTAGTGTGGCGCTGTAGGATAAGCATTCGACCACACGTCGGTTTGAACAGCAAGGTTGGCAGTTCAAACTCACCAGCCTCTCCTCAGAAACCTTATACAGGGTAGCTATGGGTCAGAACCAACTCAATGGCACTTAAGAATAACAATCTGTAAAATGCTCTTTTAGACTGACTCTCTTGGAAATACTTCAATGAAAAGAAAGTCATCAATAATAACAAATCTTAAAGAGGGAATAATACAATAGGGAAATCTAACCTCTCACTCAGATCTCTAAATTTCACATTTTGAGTTTGTGGTGTAGTAAATCATCTAATGAGACTTCCTCTAGCCATAGTCTGTACTCCCACCAAATAACATGTTTGCCCTGCTGAGTCTGGGTAAGAGAAGGTGGGAGATTCAGCTGTGGATGTTAGCAGAGTTCATTGTAAATGTAGAAACTTGAAAATTCCAGTATGGGAATAAAATGAACCATCTCAGAAGGAGAAGCGGGGAACTCACCACCTTCAAAGAACAGTCAGGAATAGAGCATGTCCCTTAGACCCCAAGATCCCTGTACACTTAACTTTCTCCATACAAGAACAGAAAGCCATGGTACCAGAGGAGTGGCAGAGGAGCAGCAGCAGAAAGAAGAACCAGAGCATGAGACAGAACAGTGAACTTCCCAGCACACAGAGCAAATTAAGCTGAGCGACTATGAGCAGTTAGCTTACTTGTAGAATAGGGTGCCTCCAGGCACTTAAGTGGGGGAGCTAGGTTTGCTGACCCATAGAACTACAGCTAAGTGCATTCAGGCTGAGGCTTATGGTAGAGTGGTGTGTCCTGTGGGCATTCATCAGCAGCCGACTGGAACAACTGTGCGGGAGCATTTCTGACCCCAAATTATAACCTGTTAACTTCCCTAATAAACCCGTAACTGTGAGTATGGTGTCTGAGTTCTTTATGTGGTCACTGCAACAAATTATCACACAGCTGAATAGAAAAAACCCAGCGGAATAGAGAGGGCTACAGGACCAATTGTTGATGAATCCCCAAGAGAATATCTATCCCCTGTCCTCATTTTTTTTTTTTTTTAATGTTAAGTAAAAGTAGTTGTGGCTTGGGCTGAAAGGAGGTTTAATCGGATAGGGACTATACTACTTAAAAGATTCTGTTATGAGTATTTTCAAAACAGTAGGTTTTATGAACCTGCATTTTCAGGGTTTTTATACAAGATAAATGCATTACAACCCTACACATTCTTTAGATTTTTGTATTGGTAGACAAAAGCTTTCATATTCAATAGTAAATTTGCATATGAACATAAAGGAGATTTTGTGTGAATCTCTCTCTGTTTAAAACCATATATCGCTGAAAATAAGGTGAGAATTTTCTTCTCCAAAATTATCCCTTAAAAAAGAGATATTTTATACTAAAGTCCTTACAAAGTCTTTCATAACACTGGGTATTTTCTCAATTACTTTATTTTTAACGAAGTGCTGTTAGGGAAGAAGTATTAGCCGGAAACAATGTCAATTGATCTAAGTGTTGGATGGTCTTAGTTCATTTCATTTTGTTGTAACATCAAGTTGGTTCTGACTCAGAGTAACTCTACAACACACAACAGAACAAAACACTACCAGGTCATGTGACAGCCTCACAATTGTTACATATGAGCTCATTGCTACTGCCACTGTGTCAAGCCATCTTGTTAAGGGTCTTCCTCTTTTATGCTGACCCTCCATTTTACTAAGCATGAGGCCCTTCTCTAGAGACTAGTCCCTCTGATAACACATTCCAAGTATGAGAGATGAAGTTTCACCATCCTGGCTTCCAAGAGGCATTCTGCTGTACTTCGTCCAAGCCAGATTTGTTTGTTCCTCTGGCAGTCCATGTTTCTTTTAATATTCTTCTCCAACACTGTAATGAAAATGTGTCGATTCTTCTATGGTCGTCCTTATTCATTGTCAAATTTTAGCATTTATATGAGGCAGCTGAAAATATCATGGTTTGGGTCAGGTGAACTTTAGTCCTCAAACGAACAGCTTTGCTTTTTAAAACTTTAAGGTATCTTGTGCAGCAGTTTTGCCTAAGGCAATACGTCATTTGATTTCTTGACTGCTGCTTCCATGAGTGTTGATTGTGGACCCAAACAAAATTAAATCTTTGACAACTTCAATCTTGTCTCCATTTACCATTATTTTATTTATTGTTCCAATTATGAGGATTTTAATTTTCTTTACATAGAGGTGCAATCCACATTGAAGATAGTAAATTTTGATCATCATCACTAAGTACCTTAATTCCTCTTCTCTTTTAACAAGCATGGTTGTATCATCTGCATATGTTGTTAAGTGCTGTTGAGTTGATTCCAACTCATAGCAGCCCTGTATAGGGTTTCTGAGGAACATTTCGTGGGTTTGAACCACCAATCTTGAGATTAGCAGTCCAGTGCTTATCCTACAGTGCCACACCAGGACTCCATTATTTGCAAGTAGAAGGTTGTTGATGTGCCAGTCTCCCTGTAACACTGAGGCCACATTCTTCGTATAACCCAGCTTCTTGGATTATTTGCTCAGTACATACATTGAATACATATGGTGAAAGAATACAGCCCTGATTTTAAACCATTCACTATCCCCTTGTTTTATTCAAATGACTACCTCTTGGTCTA